GTCAGTCAAGCACAAAAGAGTGAATGACCTCTGGGGATTTTATTCAGGACCCTGGATCCTCAGCTGAATACACTTTAGAGGTAAAGCCTTAGTGAGAGGTTGAGGAGCATTGAGCCTAGTTCTCCATTGCTGTTTACACCTGGGCAAAGATGTAGAGATACACATGGTTGCCACATCTCTGCTTCTTCACGCTGGATGTAGAACTTTACACCCACTGTTCCCATGTCTAAATGACAACGCAGGATGAAGGAAAGGGGAAACCAGCCACATCTGCTGTGAGAAAAGGAGGTGCATGATACAAGGTTGCACCTATTCTGTGGAGAAACTTCTGTCTCCAGGGCTGTCAATCAGGAACCTTTCATCAGCAGTAAATTCATTTTAGAAAAAAAAATCAAATAGAGCGTCAGAGAGATTAGTCAGAGTTCTCAAATGCTTCATGTGTAATGTTATTATCTCAGCAGACAGATATCCAACAATTCCTCTGCTCTTTGACATAACAGGCATTTGCTGACAGCGACATTAGAGAAGTCTCTCTTGAGTGAACCAAGGCGATAGGATCTTGTTTAAATTGTATTTTAAAAACATGCCTATCTAACAATTAAATTAGAGAGAAATGTCACTCCCATAGAAAGTTTTTGCTGCTTAATATACACATTTCCTTATTCATCTGTAACCCCCAGACGTCATATAGCTTTTAGCATTCCCTCCACCTCTTTCCTTTCCCTGTGATTCTCTCAGTTTTACTTGAGAATTATTGATCCATCAAGGCTTTTAAATAGTCCCACCATTTTCTTGGTCCATAGAATTTAATTGACTGGGCTGTATCTGAAGCAGGCTGCTTGCCAGATAGATGGCCTTGCATGCTCCCCTAAACTAGGTTTACTCCCCCTGGTGGAGAAATCAGTCAGTGTCAGAGTTTTGCTGTGTTAATTACATCACCACAGAAGCCAAGGGGTTACTCCTGACTTGCCACTAGTGTAGATCCCCCCCAGCACAGGAGAGAAGCCGTACAAGGGAGGATACACATTCCCTGTGTATTGCAGATCTCAGTTGTATGCACATGAGTGAAATGGGCAGGCGGGCTAAGATGCTGGTGGGATGAGAGGCTGGTGGGAGGAGAGATTGGCCAGATGAGAAGCTGGCAGGTTGAGAGGCTGGTGGAAGGAGAAATTGGTGGGATGAGAGGCTGGCGAGGCTGATGGGTTGAGAGGCTGGCAGAATGACAGGCTGGAGGGTTGTGAGGTTAGTGGGATGAGAGGCTGTCCGAAACTAGGTCAGGGATGGGTCAGTCCATGCTGGGGTGAGAGGCTGGCAGAATGACAGGCTGGAGGGTTGTGAGGTTAGTGGGATGAGAGGCTGTCCGAAACTAGGTCAGGGATGGGTCAGTCCATAGAATCTGCATCTGTATTGTTCCCTTGAGTCTCTCCTTCCCTTCACATTAAGGAGTACTACTGCTATGCAGCTGTTGGGTCAGCACCAGGGGAGCATATTGGCTGAGAGGTAAAATCTTCTAGTCAAATCCACCTGGCAGATCTCAGATGAGAAGCTTGCAGTGGGAGGCTGCACTATGTAGCTAGGACATTTTGCAGGATGCTTCCATTCTGCCTACACTCCATAGTTCAGCTTGGGACAGATAGAACCCTGATGTAACATGTGACGTGCTATTTAAAGGGATAATACCATTCTGCTGGTCAACCCTCTTGATTTTGAATAGATCAGAACCACTTCTCTGTGTGTATAATCGTAGAAGAGCAAACCAGGTACCACTTTCTTTTAACCCTCTGTACAGAACGGTAGCGCTTGTGCAAAGTACCAGAGGGGGCTGTGTGATTTTGTGACAAGTTGCTCATACAGCATGTCAGTGAAAGAAAAGGCATTTCACATTCCTGCAGGCTTTGTATCTGACTAGGGTTGCCAGGTGTCCGGTATTGACCCGGACAGTCCGGTATTTTTGCCTCCTGTCTGGTAAAAAAAATGCAGAAAATACCGGACACCCAAAATGTCCAGTACTTTCTGATTTTTTCCCAGCTAGGATGCAAAAATACGGGCAACCTGGTTCCACAGGAGAGCTGTCTGGCCCGGAGCAGGGAGACAAGATGGCGGATGGCCGCCAGTAGCCTGTTAGGGCTAAAAAGCCTCAAAAGCATTTCTTAAAGGAGCCATGCTGTTTTAATTTTTTTTTTAAAAGATTTAATTTTTTTGGCTTAACAACTCTCAGGATCCTTTTTTTTCTCAACAACTTTGGTCTTCCCCTTTTTTTTCTCAACAGAATTTTTTCCCCAGTGTTTTTTTTGGGGGGGGGAGGTTAGTATTTTTGGTTAACCATCTGGCAACCCTATGTGGCTCTGAGGTATCTAGCTGTGGTACAGCAGAGCTGAAAGTCAAGGAGGCATTCACCCCACACCAGCATGGCAGGGGTTAAAATGGCAAGAGAGGCCCATTTGCTGCAGGTGGCATTTTCTGGGGAGCTAAGCAGCAATAAGACTGATTGAGAACCAAGCTCAGCTGGGCAGGAAAATGCCAGGGCTGCTATGAAGCCTAGGAGTTGAGCATGGAAGGGCCTGCCGGGAGGGGAAACTACAGTCATGCTCCTGATCCGTGAGGGAGAGTAGGAGCCTGAGAGAGGGCAGGGTAGGAAGCAGTCTGGGGAAGGGGTGGGAAGGTCTGAGAGGATAGACCTGAACTACTTGTTCTAGAACCTGTGGATTGGGGAGCCAGTGTAGAGGGGGAGCCCCGGTTCCCCCAGGAGCCGCTGCGGGAGTGGTGCAGTCAGCACAGAAGATATGGCGACTGCCTGAGACTGTGGTGAAATCCCAGAAGAGCCTCAAAGGAGAGGCCCTGCAGCTCCTGACAGAGAGGAAGAGGCTGCAGAGGGAATGACTGAAGCCATGGGCTGAATGACCAGGGCCAGCCTAGGCCGATTCCATCGATTCCCCCGAATCGGGCCCCACGCCTAAGAGGGCCCCGCGCCCTAAAGCTGCAGCCCCCAACCGGTCCATCGCGATTGACTGGTCCATCGCAAGGCCTCGACCAGTGGATCGTGAGGCGTTCGGGGCCCCCCACCTCCCATACTCTCCCCACCCCCGAGAAGCCCCACTGCCTACCTCCAGAGTAGTGCCGGCTTCCCCAGGGTGGACGGGGTCCTTCCTGCAGCTTTGCGCCACTTCCAGGGATTCCAGAAGTGCGCTGGCTGCTCCCCTCACAGAGCTCTGTAGCATGCCGGGCGCACTGCGGCAGGGGGTGCCAGCCCCGGAGGAGGAACGTGGCGCCGACAGCTTCCCTGCAGCACCATGACCACAGGACTCAGGAGGGGTGAGTCAAGCGCAGGGATTTTGTATGTGCTGCAGGAGGGGGGTTTGGCCCCGGGGCAGGCACAGGGCAGGGGTCTGGCCCTGCCCAGGGAGGGGGTTTGGCCCCAGGGCAGGCGCGGGAGGGGGTTTGGCCCTGCTGTGGGAGGGGGGTTTGGCCCTGAGGCAGGTGCGGGAGGGGGTTTGACCCCGGCCTCCGGGGCAGGCACCGGACTGCGAGGGGGTTTTGGATGTGCCGTGGGAGGGGGGTTTTTCTTCTGGCTTCCCTCTGTGGGGGGAGGGGTGAGAATCCTGGGAGGAGATGGGTGCAGGGGACACTGCTCCCACTCCTGTCCTGTTCCCTCTCCCCCTCCCCTCCTGTTCCCTCTCCCCAGACGCAGAAAGCTGTCCCCACTGGGCCCCCTGTTCCCTCTCCCCTACCGGCAAGGAAGATGAAGTTTAAAAAACATATATAGGTGAGGTGTACAATAAAGTCCCTCTCAACCAACCTGATATTTATAATATGACGCAATGTACCAAAACTTTTGTCTGTGGTGGGTTTTTTTTTTTTTTTTTTGCTCAACAAAAAATCCTGGGTGCCAGGTCCTCGTGAAAACTGTTCAAATTGGGCCCTGCACTTCCTAAAGTCCGCCCTGTGAGTGACCACCAGATGGGACATGGCCCATGACAAGCTAATTCCCCAGATGAACCACCAGGAGGGGCCAACAAGAGGTAAGTAGCAGACCCCATGAGGGGAGAAATATGAAATAAATTTTTCACTTAATATCATCAATGTTCCCTCTATCAACATTTCTGCTAAACTTTTCCATCCATGTGTGGAATAAATGTTTGTGTACACTGAGGTGTATGTGAATGTGCACCATCAGTACCAAGCTATGGGCATTCTGTAAGCATATGGTATATGGATCTCGCCTGAGCGGCCACATAAGCACAGAGTTTACAGGGAACACTGGCCCCTATCTGCATAGATATTCAGGTAATGATAAAAATATTTATAAATAATTTGTTCAACCCCCAAAATGACCACATTCCTCTCAGAAATCATTGGAAATGAATATATCTGGTGTAAATTGATTTACACCTGCTGGGGAGTTACCCCCAGGCTGTCCTTTCTCTAATTTGCATGCCACTTTGACCTCTTTGTAAAACATTGCCCAAGATAATCATTGTGGATTCTCTTGTACAAGGATCTGCTGCCAGTACTTTAACAAGGGGCTCCCACAAAAATGTGTGGTTCCCTATAAGCCTTGGATCAACCTTCTAGAAGGAGCACATGCCATTAAAGAGGGTTGGGACAGAAGACTGGAGAATCATTGTCATTTGCTTTTCCATTTAAAACAAAACCACATTCGCTTAACCATAACCAAGGAGGGAGGTGATGCCACACTCTTGGCAAAGAAACTTATAATAAATGCACTTGCTGGAAAAATGTATAGGGTCTTCCCCAAAAAATACACTCTGTATACTGATAGCATAACACAGAATTCAACATGTGCAATCCAAATGGGGAGGAAGATGAAGATCTCTTTGGACTGGATCTTCCCACCTTTCGATATGCTTGGTAATACCTTATTTTGCTGGTAGTCCTGTTGGAATCGGGGTAGAGGGTGTCAAAATCTAAGGGTAGAGGCCCTTAGATAATACCTGCCATTTGGGGCAAACTTGTACCCTCAGAAACAGCTCTTTTTCGAAACATTTTATTGATGCCAAGGAATAAATTGTGTCTGGCAAAGATGTTTTAACAATCTCTATTCAGGTACCAAACTCCTTTTGAGATAGGCATTAGCCACAATCCTCCTTTGCATGAGAGTTATGGTAAATTTTAACAAGTGTTTTCAAGGCACTGCCTTCTACCAAATCACTGCTCTGTTACAATCCGTGCCTTTCAGAGGCAAACAAGTATATGACAGAAAAATGTTCAGAGTGTAAATAAAATAATATTCAAGCAAACATATACATTGGTCAACCAGACTGAGGCCCCTTGAATGAACAACGTAACACCTTTAAAGCAATGAGTGCGAATTTCAATAGTAGTGTCTCTGGAAATCTCCTCCCAAAGCACATCAAGGCAGTGAAACTGGAGCTGCAGGCTGCCAAGATCTTGGATTGATTTCTGCAGTTCTGCTTCGGTCCAGAGATCTACAAAGGGCTGGGGAAAAAAAACTCCAGTGAGCCTCCCATACAAAAGAGTTTAGCCCCAAGACAGGCATCTGTCAAACACTGGGGCTCAGTGAGGTCTGGGGAGCTTAGAGCAGCTTACATAATTGTGGGAGGCTTTTTGAAGCAACGATCATCTGTGATCTCGTAAGGAAAGTGTTGGAACCATATTTCTTGACATCAAACGGAGTGAAGCACTAGAGAATATCATTGGGGGGGGGGGGAACGGCTGGAGAGAAGCATTCTCTTCCAAAAATAACAGGTGTGATTCATCACTTCCTATTACAGGCTTTACAGCCTAAGCGCAGGAAGATGAATGAAGGGGAGCAGTTTTAGTTTTGCCTAGCAGTTTCCCGGACACTGTATAGTGTAGTGCTTTAATTACCCTTAATGAGCAAAAGAGGTTTGATACAGTATAACCAACTTGACAGCTCCTTCCTTGCCTATTAAATGGAATGGGGATTGCATGCCAGACCTGTTTCCCCTTCTGCCTGTGTGCAGGGCTATGAAAACTTGAGGCACAGAATGTGTTCTTGGTGAGTTGGTTTCTGTGACCAATTTAGGGAAGAAAGGGGGGAATTGCCCATGGACATGTGTCCAGATTATTTTCAAAACCATATTTTATTCCTTCAGTTGACTGTAATGGGACTGTAGGAGGCTTTACAATTGGCCATAAAACCTTACAGGCCAGGGTGGTGGTTTAACAAGCGGAGGGACTTATAAAAACGAATAGAGTTTATTTTTATGTAGCATCCTTTTCAAAAAGTGCAAGCGAATGCTTTATAGTGAGAGGGTGAAACAGGCCTTGAGTGATTCAGCAGGGCTGTTGTAGTGCCGGTCATGAGAGGAGAAAAGGGGGGAGGGTGTGCAGAAGTGGAAAAGAGGAATGGTGAAAGTTTCCAAGGGGAAGGATGAGGGGGCTGTATGGAAAGAGGCAGTAGTGGGAGAAGGGAAATACATTTAGAGGGGTGGGCTGTGAGATGAGAGGGAAGGAGGTAATACTGTGAAGTGCAGAGCATCATTTGCTATGTGGTAAGGGGGCAGTTGTCCCTCTAAATCTTGATTTGATCCCCCCTCTAGACTTTTCATAGGACTGTATTCTCCATCATGTCTTTCATTTTCTGCTC